GTATTTACCACAATCGCGTTGTGTTATCGTCTTTCAGCACGATTTTCTTCTGCGGTGCACTTGCATAACTCCATAATTTAATTTTCACTAAAATCGCTTTCATTTGCAATATCCACGTATAGAAATTTGGCTCAATTCGCGACATGCTTACGTCATCCATTTCAATACGCACTTTACACAGAAAAATAAATTCACGAACACGAAACTGATTAAACCCTTTACGAAACTTTTACCCTTTAGATTAACGAGAAAATCTATTGAAAAACGAGAACAATATACAGTACAAATTCATTTATAACGGGCAATAAAAGAGGAATGGCGGTCGAGTCGCTTTTGGAAGTTGTAAACATGTAAACAACAATTCCAAAGGTTACTCGACCAGCAACTCATTTTTAATCGCATAGTAGATATGTTTTTACTACTATGACAATCTATGATGGGTGTATACAATCATTATCATTAGTTTACTATCAAAAATCATCAAGAAAGAGCCAATAGAAACAAAAGTTTATTGCGTGTGGCTAATCAACGAAACCATCATATCATGAGCTTAGTGAACTAATGATAATGAGTGTATCAACCCTCTTGATTGAAGTATCACACACTAAGGTTATACAGGGTGACAATTTGAAAACTTACCACCCCTCATATCTTAGTAAATAAACGAGATATTTAAAAAAATCAAAATCCGTTTCGGTAATTCGGAGGGGGAATCACAATGACATAGTTGGCGACGCACCCCCTCCAACCCCCTGCGCCCCAGCCACCCCAACTTTTAAATCTTAAATAGTGACCCCCCATGTGTGATACGTCGTTGGAAAAAAAAATAAGCATGGAAAATCGTATTTAACTTTTAACAACTTCCAAAGCCGACTTGACAGCAACTCATTTTTGATCGCCAGTTATAATCTATTCTCAAACTCTTGTCGAACCTTTTCAAATGTAGGTTTTGCAATATTTCGACATTCTTGAATTATTATTCTCTGTCTTAGTTCGTCTATGTTCGCCGGTTGCGTTTTAAATACGACAGATTTCAAATGTATCATATTAGTTTATTTTTTGATTTGCACGATAATTACTAACCTAAATGTAATGCTATTTGGTATGGTTGGAAAGCATTTTTTCAGAGCTTTCCAACGACGTATCACACATGGGGGGTCACTATTTAAGATTTAAAAGTTGGGGTGGCTGGGGCGCAGGGGGTTGGAGGGGGTGCGTCGCCAACTATGTCATTGTGATTCCCCCTCCAAATTACCGAAACGGATTTTGATTTTTTTAAATATCTCGTTTATTTACTAAGATATGGGGGGTGGTAAGTTTTCAAATTGTCACCCTCTATAATACACTATTTTCTCAAACTCGATCATAGATTAGGTACTAAATAAATACATGCTAACATCAACTACAACGTGAATGTAATTTCAGATATGTTGTGATCATGAATCTATGTTTAAACCACTTTTAACCTTAAGGGCTACATTGGATAGCGTTCTTGCTTATTTAAAACATCAACATCAACACCTTCTAGGAACGATTGCCTATAGCATGTCGATTGTAGTACTCTGCAATCATGCATTACTTTTGCCACCCATATACAACGCCAACACTTGATTTCTAGTCCAGGACATAATCTTTTCTTTGCTAAGTTACAAGATGTTCTTCACGTTTCTGCAACTTCATGAACTTATAAGAATCGCGGGTTTAACATGTTTTCTTTAATACGGGAAATTGTTTCTGGACGTCAACTTCTCAATCTTCAACAACCTCATCTTCCACGAATTCTTGGTCAAATCAATCAAATCAAAAGCTTTCTTCCCTAATGTGCAGCATCACCGTAAACTGTTTTTAAATGGGGTTTTATTTCAGCCTCCGAATGAGCTCCTTTATAGAAATAGACTTGATCGCTTTTTGACGTTGTGTAAAAACAATAAGGGAAACAGGATTCGCGATTTAGAATTACATAAACCGTTTTAAAAATATCCATGCCTGAGCAACTAATTGCAGGCTCTGGCTAACTAAACTAAAGATTTTTGAATTATTTGATTATTTTCGAATTTTTCGAAAAATATACGCATTCACCAAGTAATTGTCTCCTGATGTATACCGCAAGCAATACAAACCAAATACCTTCAATGTAATGAATCATCTCAGTGGGTTGTTCACCACCTATGTCCTAACGCCAAGGGTCACCACGACAAGGTTCGTTACGCATATTTATTGTTACTGTAAAGTCCGATGAACTATCACTAGACCAATTAAATTCAGAACCGGATCAAAAATTTTGTATTCTCATCGACAGAAATCTCTGGATTTGTGACTCGTCTGTACAGACTTTTTCATACTTTCCTAGGATCCAGGCAAATTCCAATTAAAATTCATGTTAAGGGAATTGAACTCGGAAGGTTTCCATTATATACTGCGTCAATATAAAACAAAATAAGCTGATTTTGCAGTACAAACCATTAAACCATTTAAATTTAAAAAAGAGATAGCCATTTCTCCTTTAGGAAGTAATTATTCATATCCGTGCTAGGTTTAAATCAGTTCATAAAAAAATACTGTAGCTAAGGAAATGCAATTAATTTCCTTATATTATGTTATTTTTTTGTGGTAGTTTTTTAATTGCAATTTTCATTTTTTAATCCAAACAAACTAAATTGTTAATCAATAGAGTGTAGCAGAGTATTAATATCGAACCCCAAGATACAACAGGGACCAGGGTGTATCCTTTCAATAGGTAAAACTCTTCACTACGTGATTCCTTCCTTATTATTTTCTGAGCAAAAAAATCCAATAAAAATGTAGATGATTCCAGCAGGTGGTATAAGCCATCCTAGTTCACATAACAAGCTGCAATCTGCAATTATATCGGAGTTTGAGGAGACGTATTTTGCATTAATTTTTAAAAAGTTAACACTTATGAATACACAAGATGAATCCTTAGGTTGGGTCTCTTTGTACATTTTTAAAATGTGGCATCAATGCACTTGAGTTTTTCACGTAAAAAGTGTGGAAATTTGCATCGGTCTCAAAAGTGTCATGTTACCAGATTTAAAGATCTAAAAGTCTGGAAAACGTGAAATAGAAACCCCTTAGCAGGGAAACGGAAATTCGTACATCATTTGCATAATTTTTAATCATCAATTGGCTTTTATTGGTGATATTGTATCGAAGCATCCGGAGTTTTTGAGTGGATTTTTCCGCTTACAAGGACCATCCTGTATAATAACGATTGGTTTGAGCTTCGTCACGTAGAAAACCGCAATTTTGAGAAATTTCCGCGGGGCTATAGGGACACCAGGAGCGGCCGTAATTGATTAGTCCGCCTACACCCGTTGATGTTGGAATTTTGGGATTATTATTGTAACCACCGAAGGGTCTTGTTCTGGAAAAGATGAAGGACATTTAATATTTTTTGGTTTTTCTAAGCAAGTTGTTTTGCCCGCTATCAGTTAGCGTCTTGCTTGCAAAAATTAGACAACCGCCACCTGCTCTGAGTCCGAAAACTTGCAATTAACATACAGTTAATTAATGTAAGTTCATGAGCTTTTGAGTATGTATAATTAGCATGCACTAATTAAAGGAATTACAGTAAAGAAGCGCCGATTGAGACGATTGTGGTATCAAATTTTGCGCGCTTAATTAAGGAATCGATTCCCAGATGTTCGGGAATTTTAGGACGAACAGGAATTGATTGGTTTCGATTTCGTATTGAATACGCTACGGTTTGGATTTTCCTTGTTCCACCTCTACCAAATTGGGTTTCTTTATAAGCGAAACGCTCAATTTTGGAAAGATCTTTTTGCGTTCTACTTGCCGTAAGTAAGTCCGTAGATATATTTTGCCATTTTGCATACCGTAATTTGGATCTTTTGCATCTTTAGGTTTTTATCGACCGTACGAGATCTTTTTCTCATCTTTTGCATCTTTACGTTTCACTGACAGTAAGCGAATTTGTTTAATTACTTTTCTTCTGCTAGGGAATTGGCCGTATTAGGCCCTATTTTGTTTTAGCGTTCCAGACATAACCGCCGCATTTACTGAACCTGACCGCCGAACACCTGGAATTATCATCTCCGGTTGCGACTGCTTCCGAGGCTACCGAAACCAACCCGTCCATGCGTAAATACCGCCGACATCGTCCAGGCGCGAGATTATCGTCTGGTGGCGCCCGAGTCCGTCCGTTCGTTCGTTCCCTGTACCGTCGTTTTGCCGCCGACTATACCGCTTGAGGAATCATAATATACTTTGTATTAATATCTTTAATTAAATTACGCCCAAACAATAACTCTACTAATTGGGTTTTAATTCCTCCAACACCGGCTATGCGCGAGCAGCCAAAGTTCGTCGCAATATAATAAGAGCTTTAGCACGTCACGGATATGTAAGCTCAAAGCTAAGATAACGAGAATTGCGTTCCCAAAATTTTAGAATCACTAATAAAGTAATCACAAATCTACGATACACCAACATATCCAAAACTTGTGAATGAATTCGTTCTTATTATCAGTGAAAACACACTATTTTGACTGACATCGTCTGCTATATACTTCTAGTTTGTACGTATAAAAACTCGAACAAAAGTCATCAAATTTGGGCTGGGGCAGATTACATCTGCGTAAACATCTTCAATAGTTTGTAATTGATTTGTGTGATTAGTACATTTCAATGTTTGATAATGGTTATGATCACGTCATGGCAATAACTTGCGAATTTTTAGTTAGTTGATACCACCCTTAGAAAGGTCGAATTCGGATCTCAAGTTCTAAAAAGTACCTAGAGATCGCATTCATATAAAAGGCAAAGCTCTGTGACAACTATTTTTCCACTCATTTCAACTTTGCCTAACTTAAAGGTAAAACTCATGGTCCCCGGGTTAAAAAAAATTCCAAGACATTCGAGCATCAAAGTTGCTTCAAAACTCTACTTCTCAATTTCCACGATTTTCAAGGAAATGACCAAACATCAATAATAAACTGCAGATACTGAAATTGATTTACCTGTACACGGATGTCTACTTGAAGTCCCTTTTAAATCAAGAGGATTTTCCAGGACAGATGTCATATTTGTCGCATCTCCAAATGTCGAACGGTTTAAAGTACAATTAAATCTCGCCTCCCACAGTTCTTTAAACCAAGGATTGCGAATGTTCTGCGAGGGTTTTAAGGATAAATAATACGAATCGAAGTCGTGAACGTAAGGTGAGTGAATTCTTATTGAAATTCCACCCCAAGCTTCCATTTCGTAATTAGTTGTAACATCTTGCCGATCGGCCCATCCGTCGCTAAAATAATAAGACAAAATTAGTAAACAGAGGTCATTTTCGATTATGATTTTTATTATAGATAGCATAAAGTAATTAATTCTAAAATATTTTGTGGGGTATTTTGATCTATATCTATACGGAAAAAGATGTATTTATAATCTTGCCTAATTGAAAGAAATTTCCACTGTAGCGAACTTTCTAAAAAATTACGTTTTAAAACAAACTTTTACTTCTACCTACGTATAAGCTAAAAGCGACTTTGTCATAGTACATTTAATTAAAACGAAGATCCTTTGATGAATAAATTGTAAAAAAGTGTTTGAAAAATCAGCATTTAATCAATAATATTTTAAATTACAGATAAAGATGTGCAGTAGTAATGACACTTGTAAGTAGATACGTATATTAGGTTATACCATTGTATTTATAAATACAATGGTTATACTTTGTATTATACTATGGTTATACCCAAGGATGCTATATAATAATATACAGTGTGTTCCTGATCGGGTGGGATTGTATGGGTAACTTTCTTATTATTAAATAATAATTAAATTATAATATAGAGAATTGGTTAAATGTTCATCAAAGTTTTAGATACTTCAAAATGAATATGTTGGAGGTAATTTAAAGAAAAACTAAAAACGGTCATTTCCGTAATTGTCTAATATCGTCGAAAGTATTATACGAGATACAAAAATAGAGTTTTATATAAAAGTTACTGTCTTTGATACACTTAATTTAGAATTGATGTAAAAAAATTCAAGCCATATTGGTTTTTTAGGTTGCTTAATACATTTTTAATTCTCTCTTCAACGAACTATCATAGCATACGTTTTGAAAATAAGATACCAGTTATATCAACGGTTTTTATATCTTGATGAAGTAGTCCGTGATGAATTAAAACAAAACAAAACAAAATCTATTCGAGGCAACAAAACAATGAAAATAATTATATCAGATGTTTAAAATACTGGTAGTATCGGTCGCTCTTTATCTTAAGAGCTATTGTTCTACTTTTTTCGCTATTTGGTTCGTTATGGCGTTGAGGCTTGCACCAAGGAAGAAATTTTTTTGAGTTTCTTACTAAAAAAACTTATAGTAAAAAATCAATTTGTTCATGTACCATAATTTTACACTTTTGCCGTTTATTAACGATCCTCGAGAAACTGACCAAACTTCCAAAAAATAGGGTTCGTTTATCATTCTTGTTACAAAGAACATATGAATGTCCGGTTTTCTGTGTTAGTAAATATTCCTTAAAACTCAAGCAACTATGTAGACGAATTAAAAAAATTTGCGCATGCGCAACCCAGCGTTGGTAACTACGCAATTCAATTTTTGATTTGTTGAGATATTTAAATGAAGCTTTGCATATGGGCATCTCGAATAAAAGCAAAACTAATACCAAATTTAAAAAAAAATGTTTTACAAGCTATGCTATTCTGGTGGGACAGGATCAACCCCTTAAGGTGTGTTGTAAAATTGATGGATGCGTGAAGATCTCGAAGATCGTTCGGTCTTCAGTTGTATCCTGTGCTAATAAATGTACTACTGTGTAATGTGACTACTACTAATGTTCTTTACTACGAATTATGGCTAAGTGGGTTTTAGGAGTTTCCTCCTTATTTAATAGTGATTTACGAAGTTATCAAGAACTGATTTTGAGAGCTTTAATATTTTTTTCTACAATCGATATCCAAAGTAGGCATTTGCGCTCGTATTTGACAACGCAAACTTCATCTTTTTCGAGGAATGTCACTTTGTCGCTTATAAGCGACAAAATAGAAAAAACGCTCGCTCTCCCAATTATTAACTATAAATCAGATATGCATTGCTCATCCAATGACAACGAGTAAATGACATCTTTCATTTGGGCATAAGATTAAAATGATTTGAGTGAAAAATTTAAATTTTTGGAAATATGTGAACTGCTAGATTGTAGAAAAAATCTTGTGTGTAAACCGAGCGCAAATTGATTGTCGATTTCAAGAGTTTGCCGCGCTCCTTCGTCGCGCGTCAACTGTCTCGTTCAATCGACAATATATCATTTTGCGCTCTTAATACACAAATAGCTATTATATTGCTATATGCAATGACTAACTGTAACTAAACCACTCACAAGCATCTGTTTAGATAGCTTAATTAAACATAGGTACTCACAAAATCGTTTATACATATAAGAAATAGTTACAATTTTTCTAGGGCACGTTCAGCACCCATCACTACGAAAAATCTCAGCAGCATTGAGTTGTTCATTAAACACCCGGCATAACCCTGGGTACCAACAGAAAAATTTAACATGATAACTCTTATCTAGGTCGTAATTTGGCTTCGATTAAACACGACACATAACGTGTACAGATTAAACAAATTTGTTAGACAAAATCAATCAATAAGGCTGAAAAAAAATAGGCACTCAGGACCCGAATACACATACCACGCAACAAGCAATCGATTGAAACAATTAATTAACGTGGTAATAATCCAAAATATTCGATCAATTGCGCGTTCTATAACTGATGCACACAGAAACGATAATATTGCTTAGAAAATGCACTGCTTTGACTGTACTTGAATCTTAATTTAGAGTACACTGGGTTCGTTACAATTACTGATGTAAAATTGACTTCTTGATAATGGAAATAAACTCCCTTTAATGGGTACTGAGACAGGGTTCAACGCTCGAACGATAACAAAAATAACTTCAGCGTAAACTTCACTTCGACTTAAACATTCACTTTAAACGGCGTAATAAAAAAACTCTTAAAGCACTCTCTAAATGTCTGCTACAAAAACTGTACAACTAGGAGAACTGCTGTCTTGTAGACAAATACGCTCAAATACGGCACTGACACACACCAAGGCAATAAGCGGCTACCAAAAAGGAACGTTTAACGTCCACAACCAAACAAACCACGATTAACGTCCATCTCTTCTATTTAAAACACTTTCCCTTTTTTTTCAACGTTCCGAAAGATCTCGTCCATGTTATCAAAACTATTGCGTCGTCAAATAACTACCTTCTATGTTTACGCCGGCAAAAACATCTGCTTATCCAAACTCCAAACTTAACCAGCGATAACGAGACTTCTTATCACAACGACCGGATTTACAAGAAATAACTTTAACGAAGCATTCATCCAATCAATTCGAGATGTTCTTACTAATTGAACAATAAAACAAATTAATTAAAAAGCGATTATTTTAATAAAAATAAACATCCAAATAATTTTAAATAATAGTTATTAAGGTATCAAGGGCGTTATGAACTAAATAACGCCCCGGGTCAACAGTGTAGAACCCGAGGGCCTCCGGATTTTGATTGATGGACTAAACGCGTCGTCGTGATTGGTTCGGACAGACGTTTTCTAGGTGGTCTAAAATTGTAAAAGTAGGGACGCGTTCCGGAGACACGTGCGTAGGGCATTCGGTTCTTTAACCACGTAAGCGTCAATTGAGTGGTTTTAGAAAATAGTTTTTCGGGAAACAAGAGTGAAACCAACAGGGAGAAAACCGCGGTCATTTTTAATTCGCAAGGAACTTTGGGGGAGTTCAGGTAAAAGACAAACTAATTAAAAGTAGCGCAACGGTCATTCGTTGGTCAAATAGAACAAGATATATAAGCTTGTTCGAAAAAACCGCGCAAATATTCAATATGACAGGAGGATACACGAAGACTTTTCCAAATAAATCTACGATAAATAAAAAAATTACAAAAGTCCTCGTATGTGCATCGATGAGACTTCAGCGCATTTTTGGCGTGACGGATCAGTATTGCATTAGCAATCAGTATTTTATCAGAAAATTTTAATTATAAAATAAGGTTTATGCAAACATATATTTCTTTATTAATTTTCACGAACTCTAATAATAATTGGACGATGGTATGAACAGTACGACTCGTAAACCGAACAATCAACAGTGTAGTTGACCATTTTGCCAAAAACTCCGTCAATTATTGTTCCGCCATTCGTTGTCACTGTTCGGGGAGAGATGATCACTATATTGAATTTCTCTTGAAGAAATTTCTCTACCCGATTTCCGACAGTTAATGGGAAATTAAAGTCTCCCATAATCAAGACGTCTTCAGTTGCCTCAATGAAATCCCCGATCTCCGATAACGCTGCAATCAACAAGTTGTTGCCTTTACTAGGAGCATCAGTGGTTCAAATTTCAAAGAAATATCTCCATAAATAAGAAAGTTGGCATTGCGCAGTCACTGCGCATGCCTACACATAATTTTTACTATTTGCGAAATGTTTGCCTTTACTAGAAGCATCTGTGGTTCCAATTTCAAAGAAATATCTCCATAAATAGGAAAGTTGGCATTGCGCAGGGACTGCGCATGCGCACACATAATTTTTAGTATGTGCGCAATGTTTGCCTTTACTAGAAGCATCTGTGGTTAAAATTTTAAAGAAAAATCTCAGTAAATAGGAAAGTTCGCATAATTTTTACTATGTGTAAAATGTTTGCCTTTACTAGAAGCATCTGTGGTTAAAATTTCAAAGAAATATCTCCATAAATAAGAAAGTTGGCATTGCGCAGTCACTGCGCATGCTACATAATTTTTACTATGTGTGAAATGTTTGCCTTTACTAGAAGCATCTGTGGTTAAAATTTCAAAGAAATATCTCCATAAATAAGAAAGTTGGCAATGCGCAGTCTGCGCAAAATAGAGAGTGCAATAAAACTGTCTGAAATGGGCAAATATAGACCATAGCAGCTATCAATTAGCGAAAACCCGAAGTCTCTAGGTGTCCCAGGGGCCGAGATCTCGATGGAACGGACGGACGGACGGACGGACGGACGGACGGGCGGACGGACGGACGGGCGGACGGACAGACGGAAACACGAGCACATAAGCGTTACCTCAACTTCGTTGTGTTACGCTAAAAACCGCTCAGACCTGGATACGATATTTTTAACCAAAATTATACCACAAACTGTAAAACTCATCACCGTGTTATGATTTTGATTAGTTTTCACCTTGAAGTAGTTATCCTAGATAAGTCATATTAGTGACCGTAGTTAGGCAATGCCAAAAGTATATTTTATAAAAAAGCCATTCCTCTACGTCAATCGGATCGGCTTAAAATCGATATACGCACGGACAAGTTTTCAAGCGGCGTTAGTTATTTCGCAAATTCTAATTAAACGCAACCACTACGGGCTTAATGAATGTCCATTGCACCAATAACTCGACAAGACGGAGATAATGGAAAAAACCGGACCTCTCTACGATGTCTAGATCAAAAGTTTT